AAGCGGGGGGGGGGGGGGAGCAAAAAAAACCCCAAAAAAAGAAAAAAAAAAAAAAATCTGAGAGATGCAGCCAAAGCAGTACTAGACAGGCAATTCTTTAGTCTTATATTTAGCTTCACCAGACAAAAATGGTTCAAATAAGCTAAGCATTCACTTAAGCGGGGGGGGGGGGGGGGGAAGCAAAATAAACACCAATAAAGTAGAAAGCAAGATAAGAGCATAACTTAGTAAATTTCTAAAAAAGAACACATAATAGAGAACACGAAGACCAAAGTTGCTTTGGAAAAGCTTTTATCAAGAATAAAAAAAGAGAACAACATTATGAACTAAAATGACTGAACTGTGGATGCTACAGAGATTTAAGTAATAAAGATTATTATGACCTTGATGTTAATAAAGTTGGAAAAGTAGATGAAATAGATAAATTCCTAATATATAGGAATATACATACGTAAAACTAATTCAAGAAGAAATTGATAACCTGAATACACCTATATTCGCAAAAGATATGAAACCAAAAGCTAAAAATAAGGGGTAGGATACAAGCTAAAAATCACTAGCTACAAAATCCTTTACAGCTTTGCAAACACTTTTAACAAACATTCAAAGAACAGATAATTTTAAACTTAACTTAGACTCTTCCAGTGAATTAAGAAAGGGACTAGTCTCCAATTCATTTTACAAAGCTCCATAATACAGATAACAAAACCTCACAAGGATAATTACAGTTCCATCTCATTCATGAGCACCGATTTAAGAAACCTAAACAAATGTTAGTGAATGAATCCAGTGATGTGTAAAAACAGATAATCGTGAACTTACTCCATGAATTACTCCAGAATGCAAATTTGGTGTAATACTTTTTTAAAAAAAAATAACTTACCTCAATAACAGATTATAAGAGAAAAACAAAGTGATCATCTCAATAGACAGAAAAAAGACATAAAATAAAGACAATTAAGTTGGACCACAAAAAAAAAAAAAGACATAAAATAAAGACAATTAAGTTGGACCATACCTCTCTCCATAGATTACGATAAGTTAAATCAAAAAATGAATACACTGGGCCGGCCCGGTGGCGCACTGGATAAGTGCGCCGCTTGGGAAGCGCGGCGGCGCTCCCACCCGAGGGTTCGGATCCCACATACAGACCGGTTCCCGCTCACTGGCTGAGCGAGGCACGGGAGCAACACCGAGGGTTGCGATCCCGTTGCCGGTCCTGGTCTGGTGCGGGGGCAACACTGAGGGTTGTGATCCGTTGCCGGACACGGAAAAAGACCAAAAAAAAAAATGAATACACTACAAAATAACATTGGAAAGTTCCTTTATACTCTTGGAGTACAGTAGGTCTTTTAAACTCTTACCAAAAATAAAATCCAGAGATCATGAAGAGATTGGTCATTCTGACTATATAAAAAATTAAAACAAAAACAAAAACACGAAAGCCTTCTGCATAACCAAACACCTATTATAATAAATTTCAAAAGACAAATAACAAGATGGGAGGATGGTTAGTAACTCCTATCACAGACAAAGGTCCAGTATGCCTAATATAGTTTTTTAATAGCAATTTTTGAAAGACCAACAACTGAATAGAAAACATTCAAAATAAAAAGATATAAATGTCCAGTCCAGAAAAAAGGAAACACAAATAATTTTAACTATATAAGACGACGTTCAACATCACTCATAAAAAGATAAACATAAACCAAAACTGTACTATCAGTTTGGCAAAAATTAGAAGCTTTATAAAATCATGCTATTGACCCATGTGTAGGAAACTGGTCCTGTCACACGTAGATGGTGGGAGAATAAACTGAACAATCTCCATGGGGAGCAATCTGGCAATATTTACCAGAATTACAAAGGCACACACCCTTTGACCCAGCAGTGTCGCTTCCAGAAATTTACCCTGCAGATATTACTGCCCATTTATAAGATGACACATATACAAAGCTTATCTTGACAGCATTGTTTAAACTGCAAATAACTGGAAATAATCTATATGTTCATCAAAGAGAAGTGGTTAAGCATATTATGGTATGTCCATAAAATAGAATGAAATCATAAAAAGAATGAGAGATCGTGCTATGTCCTCCTTTGGTAAGATCTCCATAAAATATATTTAAGTGGGTAGGGGAAGAGAATGACATACAACAGAAGAGTGTGTATAGTCTATTAAAGTAGGCCACCATTTGCGTAAAAATAGGGTAGAAATTAAAATATGGTGGTGCGCTTCCTTATAGAAAGAATCTCCAGAAAAACATACAATCAGCTAATAAAGTGGTTACAGGCAAAGGGTAGAGTGGGTGGAGAAATGGGCAGGGGGAACTAAGATGGGAAAGACTTTTCTCTGTATCTCTTTTCCTGGTACTTTTCAATTTTTTTTTTTTTGTCTTTTTCTGTGTCCGGCAACGGATCGCAACCCTCAGTGTCGCCCCCGTACCGGACCGGGACCGGCAACGGGATCGCAACCCTCGGCGTTGCCCCCGCGCCTCGCTCAGCCAGTGAGCAGGAACCGGTCTGTATGTGGGATCCGGGCCGGCCCTCAATTTTTTTTTTAACATATGAATGTACTGATTAGTCAAAACATTAAACATATTAAAAATGTTAAAGATACAAAGTGAGGTAACTTAACAAAACCCTAAAATTATCTTTTGTATCAATCACATAAACGAAAAACACAAAGTATTATTTACTGACTGCTTTATATAAAAATCAACAGATTATGTATGCCATGTTTAGAAACAAAATGAAAGTCTACATAAAGGAATCTTCTGATTGTTATGAGATACTGGCTGATTAAATATAGTTGAGCCTCTTACGATTTCAAATGTATAGGAATTCAGTATTACAAATCCTTATTAAAATTTGGCTTGATTTTGATAATACTCTATTGTTAATTTTTATTTTGTATTAGAATGGATTTCAGGGGATTGTTTTAGTTTTGGAGGTTCTAACTATTTTTATAATGCTAGATCTCATTTCTTAGACAAACTTTCCAAATCTATCTGGCCATCAAACTCCCTAAAAACCAGGGCTGTTCCTGTTAAACCAGACCTTCTGATTAGGCCACCTAAATGTCTCCAACTTGCACCTCTCTGTCCCACAATGAGTTTAATTAAACTTTTTAAATATTCAAACACTCTATATAGGTAGGTAGTATGAAAACAAGAAAAAAAATCCCAACATAGCTTGAGGAATGCTTGGTTTATTCAGAATATACAAAACTGATCATATTTACACTGAAGAGTCATAGTTATATACTATTCCTTACCAGATATTTTATTGTATTCAAATTAATAAATAATGGTAGTATCAATCAAAGCATAAAATGGCCTTAACCTAAGCACATTAAAACAGTATTCATTAAAAAAAGATTCTACCTGTAGTATGCTTTAAATATTAAAATGTGAAGGATATTAAATAACTAATTGCCATGTGCTGGAAGTCATCAGTGAATGCTTCATAAAGGAAGTAAATTTTGAGCTTGGTCTTGAAGGAAATGACAGGCACTCAGAATCCTTAATCAAATTGGCTTTACAATCAAAGATTCATTTCAGCACACTAAATTAAAATGAGTAATGTAATCTCTCTATTGAGTCCTTAAATTTTGATGGCATGACAAAACATTCTGTCTACAGATAAGTTCAATAAGGATCTGAAGGCCCCTTGAAAAAGCCTATAACGTTATCTATTGATAACCCAGATACCAGTCTCTCTCACTTAAAAAGAACTGATATTAAAGTGTTTTAAGATTTTTGCACACTTTAATAAAAGACTAGATCAGATAACACTGAAATAATGTACATACCTACTTCTATAAACCCCAGGTATACTACCAAAATTTTGAGAACATATATGTAAAATACAAGATCGTACAGGATCTTGAATCTCAGCTTGCTGTTTTAACATGTTTTGTTTAAAGTCATAAACTCTCTTAGAACTCTTTTAATAAAAGTCACATGGGAATATACTCCAACGAATCCAAGAAAATACTTAAAAAATCAGCTGAATTGATTACAGTTAAGCTCCATATATTTATACATTTTGCTTAATGTCAACAGTCTATTCAGGCCATATAAGCAGCCCTTCAAAAACGAGACAGTGAATGCCACATGCTCCTCCTCTCTTCACCACTCCCACCCCAAAAAAGAAAAAGAAGAGGGAAATATTAAGTTGATGCTTATGATCAGAAGTGCTATGAAAGTTTTATCTGCATTCAGAGCAAGAGTTCCTTGCTCATCACTCCTTCATGTTGCTTCTGAGTGACAGTCTCTAGAACGAAATGAAACTGACTCATTTTACCAAATACATATGTCCTCTTTTTCTACAAACATGTAAGCTAAAATATATAGCCCAATAACCTAAGAGTATTTAAGGAGGCTAATCTAAATTAGAAACTGCTTAATATATGTAAAGTACATGAATCCTGTTAGTATTTTAATATATAGCAACTGAAGTGAGTATCTGTTTATAAGATAGTTTAAAGGGAATAAAAACAATGTTTTCATGCAGTAGCACTTACCATTAAAAGACAAACAAACAAAAAGGTCAGCATAAAAATGCCATGTATGTGCCAACTAGCAGGATTAAATGACCGATAAAACTATTCTCCTGAATGAGCCTTAACAAAGTGGCAGAGCACTTTCTTGAAAGATTTAGAACACAAATGACAAAGAACATGAAATGACTGACACTTTCGGCTGTCACTAACCAGTATTGCAGGCAGCTACCCTTCAATCTCAAACAGGAAGGAAGGGAGGAAGAAAGGAGGCAGAAAGGAGGGAGAAGCGTGGGAGGGAGAGAGACACGGAGGGAAGAAAGATGGAGGGAGGGAGATTAGGTTGTAGTTTTGTGTTTTCTCAAAACTATGTTTTTTTTTTTGCACTAAGAACACAATTTTGTTAATGGGACAGAAAGATGTTTCAGAGCCCAGTCTGCTTTGAACACAGCCCTGGAGGAGGAAACAACGCTGGGCAGCAGTAGGCTGCGCTCACCTGCTGTGGCTGGTACCTCTGCTGGGACTGGGATGGCAGGTACTGCGCCTGGGGCGGGAGGTGCGGGGGCTGCGGCTGCTGGTTGTAATATGGCTGTTGGCCCTGTTGGCAGTAACCAGTCACACCTTGCTGTCCATACTGAGGTGGCATCTGTCAAAAAGTCAAGCAAAGCAAACGAAAAAGTCAAAATCTGCAATTAAATGAAATCAAATGTGGTTTCAATTGAGCAACATGAAGTGGGTTCTCTGTTAAGCAACTGAATTCAATATCTTTAATCCTCTCTTCATTAGATAAATCGACACTCTGCCTTCTATTCACATATTATCAGTGAAGTCAAAAGATAATTTGACTACTGATAAATTACAAAATCTAGTAGGGGGAAAAAAGCTCCTAAAACAGATATTAAAAAATAGCCTCTGCTAAGAAGCCAAAGAACCATTATGTTAAGTCCACTCCCATGCAACAGTGAAAATTAAAATGAATTTGAACAGTCCACGTTAACTCCCTAATATTTTGTAGGATGCTGGTGGTCTTGGTGCATTCTATGGTGCACATTAGTTTCTAAGTTCAGAACAACTAAAGTTAGAACATCCCGATTACATTTGTAGCATATATGTACCAGTTACATTAGCAATTCCATTTATTATTTTTGCTAAAAACACATTCCTTTACAATCATATGAAACCCTTTTAGAAAACAGTACTATGTATATCATACAACAGAACCATCAATATGAGTTTTTGAGGGAAGATATTCATACCTAATCAAGAATAGTATATTGTTAGATAATAAAACAGGTAATAATGTACAGCAAAGTGTACTGCATTGTAAATACCAGAGATACAGACAAAAATGGCCTAAATCAGTCTTCTTCACCTCTAATTTACATGAGCCTAAAAATCCTTCAAATCATTGTTCAGGGGAAAATCATGCAATAAATACACTATTGATAGTATTTTAAATTTTTTTTAAATGAGAAATCTATTGACTTTTTTTCTAATTATGAGACAGAACAGGAAAGAAAAACAAGATAACAAGACAGAAAAAGCACTCCAGAGACGAAAATTAAGTCATTCTGCTAATACCATAATATGGTCCATTTGAGAACTCCAAGAACTTGAGCCCCATAGGCCCATCCACTTAAAAAATTAATGCTGAGTACCAGATACACACTTAAAAACCAAAGTCACTACGGAAATAATGAATGAGGAAAAAGAAGGAATGGTAAGGGAGGAAAATATTAAAACATCCTGCCTGTAAGACAAATTAGCACAGTAATTTGTAACACATACAATGGGATAAAAGGAAAAGATGAAAAAGCTAAACTTCCTATTTTTTTCCACCAAATCCAGATTATTTTCAAGACCTATCAACAATGATCACAAAAAATGTGGCCACGATGGCTCACAATGCCTCTCATCACACACAGGCTAAGTTGTTAGAGCAGACAAGTTTGCATTGAAAACCATTTAACAGCACAGTTGAATTCTTTTATTTATTTTACAGTTTGATATCTCATAATGAATGTATGTCCCTGCCATAAGCCAAGCCAAAGAATTTCCATAAAATACAACTCCACATGCTAAAATACTGCATACCACTACAACACACATCCTCCCGTTCGGTTCAACACCCATATGTTTGATTTGATATCTAATACTATATTTCACACAAGCATCTTTGCAGTTTGATTTGAAGCAGTTAGGATAACACTTCTGCCAGTGTTAAAATGACTGTAAAGCTCAGTCAACACAGCCAGCAACTCCCCTATGAATTGCGCTCTAACATGTTGACTTTCTGATTTACAGAAACCCTTACACACATATGGAAGTGTTGGGGGTGGGGGGTTCTGTTTCCTAAGTAAGACAACAACAGGACATGTTGCAGGAACCTACTAACACTTGAGCAAACACAAGCTTAGTAGAATCTTTCCCATCTATTTCAACTCTGGAAAGTTTGGGGGCAGGTTGGGGAGCAAGATGGCTAGCTGCGGGGCAAGGAAGACACATGGGAGCGTGAGCAAATCTTCAAAGGAGCCACAGCAGCAATCTGCAGAATGAGGCAAACTGCAGAGGGGAAACCATCTAAAATATCTGCTTGAGAGTTTCATTATTGTCTTCCACAATTAAAAACCAATTTGCTATCCTTCTAGATATATGACCTAATTCATTTATTTGGGACTAACTTCACTGGCACCTCACCCTCTCCCAGCCTGGGAGAAGAAAACCTGTAACATAGTACATTGAGCTGTCCCTTAGACCTGGGACCTACTGCCAATCAACTGGATCTGGTCGATTATCCTGAAATGGGAAGCATGACAGAACAGAGATCACCAAACTCTAGTTTAGCTAAAGAATCTCTGGGTTAGAAATGTATAAAATCTAACTCCAATTCCTACTGTACCTTAATTGTATGAACATGGTCAATCGCATAACTATATTTGTCTTACATCTCCAACTGTAAAATGGGACTACTTTCTTTATTAATTCATATTGATATTGTAACCAGAAATATAATAATCCTATCTAGAAGTCTATACAGATGCTGTTCTTCCTTATTAAACTACGAGTTGTAGTGCTCTCTCTAAAATATTAATAACTACAGTCGGCCCTCTGTACACACAGGTTCCATATCCATGGAATCAACCAACTGCAGATCAAAAATATTAAAATAATAATAATAATAATAATAAAACACAAATAAAAACAATATAGTATAACAGTTACACAGCATTTACTTGTATTAGGTATTATAAGTAATCTAGAGACAATTTAAAGTATGTGTGTGGGGTATATGCTAATACTATATATGCCATTTTATATGAGAGACTTGAGCAACTGCAATCCCCCACAGAAATGAAGTCTAATTCTCTAATGGTCTTTATTGCTTTTGTTTAAATTTATCTGGATGCAAAGCTTTCAAAGATTTACCATATGCCTTTCAGAATTCTTAAGCCAAATAATCATTATTATGAAACATAAATCGACAGGTTGAACCATAACACACAGAAGGCCCCAGTGTCTGTTGCTGGAAGCTTCAGGCTGTAATTCTTTTATGACTTCTGTGTCCACTGGGTTTAGGTCAGCCATCTTTTTCAGGCCATCAAGGCACTCAGCCACTGTTCATCACCCTGACTTCAATCCTCACCCTGAAACCTAGTTATACTTCTAATGTGCCGAGGACTGAGAAACCCATACACATTGTTAAAATCATGATGGCCCAGAGGACTAGTCCATGAAGAAAGCACCTGAGCTTTCTTGTCTCCAGCTTTCAATTTACCTTTTAGCTCTTAACCATATTCAGGATAACTAAGATTAGCAGACTGTTGCATGCAACTGACATTCAACCAGCAGTTACTGAGCACCAGGAAGCAGGAGCTGAGAGCGAGGCATGCGATGTCATCCACCGAACAGCCAAACTGACTGAGCACAGCCCCAACCACTGTCCTTCTCAAGCCATAACCTTTTATTTACCATAGGGAAGATTACCTGATGTAGTTATTTAGTCAACCCCTTAATTACACGTTCATGTGTTTACCATGTGTCCTCATGACTAGAATATGAGCTCCCACACTCCTGGTATGCCTCCTGGAAGAGTACCTCAAGGTCAATCGATATTTGTTGAATGTATGAATGTTGTTCAATCGATTACTAAAGCAAGCCATTATTGTATAAAAATTTAAACTAATTAAGGAACACATGGTAATATGAAAATCACTTGCACCATCCAAATCTGATACACATGTTCAGCTTCATCCAGCAGTCTAAAACACTGAACTTTATACAACAGCACAGGGCCCTTGGCTATTAACTGCTAACTCTAGTAAGTCATTACTGCCCCGCAAATGCTCTGTGCCTTTAGCACAGTTTAAATAAAAAGAATAATACCACTATATTAAATGGAAATCTCTAGAAAATGCCGGGGCATGAAACAGAACTTTTCTGTTTGTTATTTAAAGACAAGAATTGTACTCATTTCTAAATAATAATGACCTTTAAGTGGCACACGAGCACACACAATAACAGAAAATTTATTCCAATTTTCAAAGAAACATGAATGCTTCTAAACATTGCAGAGGGAAAGTATAGCTAAAAATGATTCACCTACTTTTATTTATTTTAGAAAACTACCCCAATAAAGGACACAAGTATGACACAAGTATTAACTTTCACATCTCTGTATCATGTTAAATGTTCAGAATTCTGAACCCCATTTTACATTTCACCATACCCCAAACTTTTTGCTCATACTCCAAAATTAATGAAACGATCAAAGTTTATCTTCTCTCCCTTTTTCTTTCTAAAGAAGTTTTAGAGAGCAGTTTCCCACTAAGTGTAAAGGCACACTGACTCTGTGACCCAGCAATGCACCTGATTGAGTATATACCCATGAAACACACCTGTCCCAGGAAGGATTTTCCATGCAATCTTGTTTACAACTGCCAGGAAGAGGACGCTAGCACAGGAGGGAAATGGAAGAATTAACTTTGCTATGGTGACACAACAAAACTCTACACAGTAGTAAAAAGGGAGGAGTAAGACCCACATATCAAAATGGTTTAAATCAAAAAAATAAATGTTGAGTTAAAAAAGAAAGCACATGCAGCACCATACCATTTGTATAAAATTTTAATACACAAAATAGTGGTACATATTGTTTATGAATACACATACAGTAAAAGTACAAAAACATACATCAAAAAAGGAAAACATGACTCTCTGGGAAGAGGCTAGGGGACAGATGGGGCAGGGCGCCGCTTGCATTTTGTTCCTTTAAAAAGAGAGATGTGAAGCAAAGGTGGCAAAGTATTAACACTTAGGACCCTGGAGTAGTGATGCAAGTGTCTGTTACATTGGTTGTTGCTGTACTTTTGTGTGCCTAAATTACTTCACAATTTACTTTCTAATATAAAGATCTTGCCTCCACCCTAGCCCACCTCCCCCCAAATGGAAGCGGCAGGGGTGGCAGGTAGGGGGCAGAGACACACATAAGGGGGGCACCTCCAGGACAGGCCCATCCCAGAGCAGCGCCTCCATCTGCGGCTTTACTACAACAGGCTCAGAGACCCAATCCCTGACTGCAAGACCAGCTGCCCCCATCTCTTCCACACCTTTCACCTGAGACAGGCCTAGGAGGAAGACTTCATTGTG